ATCCGATAGGCAAAGATGTTAGTTTATTGTTTAAAAAACTCAAAAATGTCCTTGAAGGGTCTAGATGTATCAACTAGCTCTCCTGCTCCCATTTTTTGATGGTATACATTTAAACAGACAAGGGGAGACTAGGGTATTTCAAAGTCAAAGTTCCAAACCATTTATACTAAATATAAATCATATCAATTCATTTACCAACCAGGATTAAAAACTGTGCAAAAGAATTCTCAATAAACCCCAAAGAACTTTTATACAGAGATCACAAGGAAAAAGAAATAGCTTAGATCGCTGTCTTGGGAGATGACTTCTCTTGAAATGTGGGTAATACCCTTGAGGCATTTTAATAAACGGGATCTAAGGCTTCAGTACTTAGAAGCAGAGGATAACTGGTTAATGACACATATATGAAGTGAGTCAGAAAGCAGGATGGTTTTAAAAACTAGATGTGCCTGAGCACATACTATATTAGCAGGAAAAATGAGTAAGACATCTGGATTGACTAGGAAGTGGTATGATGAAATTAAAATAGGGATATTTATCTTTCTTAAAAGCTACTCTTTCTGCTGTAACCTGCTTGGCAGGGTCTTCAGTACTCTTTCCCTTGACAGGCATAATGGATGAGGTGGAGTAATAGGGAGGCTACTGGTAAAGAATGAACTATCCCCTTTTGAAATATTATTCATAGGTAGTTAGGACCAACTTTTATTATTTTTTGGAAAGATAATAACTAAAGAAGTAGTTCTCAAAGTGTGGTTCCCAACCATCGGCATCAGCACCATCTGGGAACTTGTTAGAAATGCAAATTCTCAGGCCCCACTCCAGACCTACTGAGTCTGAAACAGGGTGGGGACAGGAATCTCTGTTTTAACAAGCCTTCCTGCTGATTCTGCTGTGTTTGCCTTTGGGTATTTAAGTAATTAAGTTATTTACTGTCACTGTTTTAAATGAGTTTTTTTTCTTTTGCAAGTTAGAGTTAGTTTGGAAAATGTCAAAGTATAAAAAGATTACAGGAGACTTGAATTGCTTAAATCTTCCTAAAAAGACAATGGTGCTTTTAAAAAGAACTCTGGCATTTTGAAGTGCATGTTTCAACAAGGGGCGGGGCCTGTTTTTTCAAGTGAAAAAGTGAAATCACTTCTTCCAGGATGGAGATTCCTGCAGTCCTTCACAGATGGCCTACGTATTTCCATAAAATTATATCTACTCTGAACTTTTTTGTCCTTAGACTCATCTACATAGGCTTATGACAAAATGTTATCTTGACCAGAGAAAATATTTTTCTAAAAATCTCTGAGAAGAAATCAAAGGCTTTGATGCAGGCTTTAAAAAGACTGTATATTATGTTATGCACATGTTGAAAAACTATACAATATTCCTGGGAGGGAAATGTGTTTGAATAGGATCTTGTTAATTTGTTTCTCTTGATACAAAAAGTCTTCCTCCAATATCCTGTGGTAGGGATATCTTCAACTTTTTCAGAAACTCAAAGTGTCATCCAAAGTGGTTGCACCATCTTCTTACATTGGCACAGGCAGTGTCTGAGCATTCAGAATGTTCCCCATCCTCATGGCACTTGGTATGGTGTTATGGTAGGTCTGTACTGGTTTCTTATTACAATTTTAATTTGCATTTCCCTAATGACTAAGGAAGTACAGCATCATGTGCTTGTTTGCCATTTGTATATCTTTGGTTCCAATTATTTCACTTTTTTATTTCAAAAGAAATAAAAGCACATGTCCATATAAAGACATGGATCATTGCTGTGGACTGAATTGTGTCCTCCAAATTTGTACATTGAACTTCTAACTCCCAGTGTGATTGTGTTTGGAGATGGGGCCTCTAAGGAGGTAACTAACATTAAAGGAGGTCATAAGGATGGGGACTTGCTACCAAAAGTTTGGTGTCCTTATTAGAAGAATCACCACGGAGGCTGGACTCTTTCCCACACATCCTGACAAAGAAGAGGTAGTGTGAGTACACAGAGGGATGGCAGCTGCCTGTAAACCAGGAAGAGAGGTTTCTCCAGAAAGGAACCATGCTGGCACCCTAATCTTGTCCTTCCAGCCTCCAGAACTGTGTGAAAATAACTGTGCATTGTTTATGCCATCCAGCCTATGGCATTTTATTATGGCATGCTGAGCTGCCCAGTACAATCTTACAATAGCAGGATTTGTACCATTTGTATTATTTGTAATATTAAAAAACTGGAAACCACACCAATGAATGCATAAGCAGATTATGTTATATAGACATAAGAAAATTCTACTGAGCAACACAAATGAATGCACTTAATCTGGATAAATCTCGAAATAATTATGCTGAGTGAAACAAACCAGACAAAAAAAAAGAGAGAGTTGGCATGAATAATTATTCCACTTATATGAAACTCTAGAAAATGCACATAATCCATAGTGACAGAAAACAGAACTGTGGTTGCCCAGGGGTGAGGTGTGGTGAGAAGTGAGAGGAAGTGATAACAAAGGTACAGGAGGACACTTAGATGGTGATGGATAGGTTTACTAGAGTGATTGTGGTGATGGCTTCATGTTCACATATGTCAAAACATCAACTTATATCCTTTAAATACATGCAGTTTACTGTGTGCCAACTACAGCTCAATAAGACTGTTTAAAGAAAAAAACCCAATGGAATCTTTCTATTATTTCTAGGAAGCTCCAGTTTTTTGTTAAATGGATTTTTTCCCTTTTCTCCAGTACCTGATAAAAAAAATGGAAAAGAAAATGGTTCACTCAGAGAAGGCTATTGTATGTATAGGACCTCATGATTTTGTACTTTCCCTTATGAGGAGCATGGAACAGGATCCCTGTCCCACCTCACACTCCCAGCCTTTCCATTACCATTGGAGGTAAAACAAAAACGAAAACAATCGAAGGACATAAAACAGGTGGCGGCAAAACCCAAAACTGGGAAACAAATAATTACACTTGGACCTTTATCTTGTGTTTTTGCACACTTAGGTGGCTCTATTGTATATTGTGGTAAAGAATGAAAATCTGTTTGAAATCTTCCAATCACAATTGGTAATTTGTATCAGGAATATTACATTACAGGAAAGGAAAGCCTCTACAAGTAATGACACTAAAATCCAGAATGAGGCGTCAGCTCATGTCAAACAAAACTTTGACAATACAATGCAAAGTTGGACACAGAATTTGATTAGAAATCCAAAACCTGCTTCAATTTCACAGAAAGCTTGCAAGATAAAATAGGGTTTGATTCACAGCTTTAGGCGAAGTTCATACCAAACATGGCAGGGCCATATCGCACTTGGGGTTTTGTGCTGCTAGTTCATGTTAAGACGGGGCTGAGATAACAGGGAAGGAGGCTTCCTACAAGAAGGTGCTTTGTGAAAAATGACTATGGAAAGAACTCCCTTCAAAGTTGCAAATTGTTCATTTTCACTGTACTGTGCTGAGGATGCCAATTTAAAACAATTTCTTAAAAGGAACTAACATTTTTAAGTAAATTTTTGAGCTTAGGTTACTTAGCTTGTAAGTCGCAGAGGAGGGAACTCAAAACTATGTCTGATGCCAAAGCTCTTTCTCTTTCTCAGGACAGAGAATTTTTCTGGGAGGTCTACCGTCAACCCTTTCCCGCGTCCTCCCCTTGTGTGTCCTCTTACTTCCACTCGCACTAACTCACTGCCGACTTCGAGTTGTAAAGCACAACTGCACCTGCTCCGAAGGCCGGCGGGGACCCTGCCCCTCCCGCGGCGCTGCCTCGGCTGCTGTGCACGGACACGAGGACCCACCAGGGGTCACTGCAGCCTCAGAGCTATTGTGCCCGCCAGTTCTGGCCACTGCGGGTCGCGCGGAGGGCGTGGGACTGCGAGCGGCGAACGCCAGGGTCGGACCAGAGCCGCCTCCTGCCTTCCTAGAGCCAAGCCTCCGGGTCTCCCAGGGAAACAGACACAGCGAGCAGGGCTCGGGGCTGCCGGGCAGCTCAGGCCCCACGCCCGCGTTCCTGAGCACACCCGCCTGCACCTCGCTGTTCGACCACCTCCGCTCCGCCCTCCGCTCGCAGGCCAATCCCGCCCAGAGGGGCGCCCCCTTCCCGGCTACTGGGCCTCTGCTGCCCTCCAGGGCTTTTTGCAGACGCCGGAGCTCGGCCCAGCTGCACCTGGGCGGCTCTCGCCCGGGGCGCCTCCATCAGTGCAGCCAAGAGAACTTTCCCGAGAGCCGCTGCGGCCTGGGCGCCCAGGGCACACCCCCACCACCCGCCGGCTTCTCCGCCCGCAAATCCTTCGACTCCCCGCTTCTCCGACTCTCCCGGAGAAGCAGCACTCCGCCGCCACGGCAGGGCATTCTCTGAGCGAGAGCTTGAACTTGGCCACACACAGTCCCCCGTGATGAGCTCTGGGGTCCCCAGACCGGAGCCGCGCCCCGCAACAAGCTGACCTCCCTCGCCGGTCTCGGTAAGAAGCCCGCTGCCCTGTCCGATCCCTTTCGGACTCCCGGTGCCCGCGGGAGGTGAAAGTGAGCCGACTGAGGGTCGCCGCTCGCACGCCCCTGTGGTGGCCTGGGACGTCGTGGGTACCCCGACACAAAGGAGCAGCCCAGTGCTACCCACTCGGCGGACCGGACCGGGCGCTGCGGGGTGGGCTCGGCGCTGGCGGCGCTCGCCGGCCGGAGGGGGCTGCGGAGCTTCTCGGGGCGTCCAGGTCCGGGCAGGGCCTCGAGCACGCGTCCCTCCCTCCTCTGCCTCGTGTTCCCACTGCCAGGCGACTTTTGTCGTCCCCAGGACTCGGGAGGGGCCGCGGCGCGCCCGCCTTCGGAGAAGCCTGAGCCGCAGGATGCGCGGGGACGCGCCGCCGCCCTCCGCGCGCAGTTCCGCCGGCGCTTCCCGGGCGGCTCCCGGGCGCTGAGTCTCCGGGCTCCTCTGCCCTCCTTACCTCAGTCCGCGCGCGGCGGCCCGTCTGCGTGGCCCTGGACCCCCGCCCGGGGACGGTCCCTCTCGGCCTCGTCACGGCGCGGACAATAAATTAATGCCGGGCGCCTGAGGCGAGGGGGCGGCTCAGCGCCGGGGTCGCAGCGTTCTCGCTTGGCTGGAGGCGGCCGCGGCCGACATGGGCTGTTTCTGCGCTGTTCCGGAAGAATTCTACTGCGAAGTTTTGCTCCTGAATGAATCCAAGTTAACCCTCACCACCCAGCAGCAGGGCATCAAGGTAGGCGCGGGCCGGGGGCGTGGTGCGGGTCCGCGGCTTTGTCTGCGCGCTGCGGGGGCGGCGGGCGGCTGCGTCTCCGCCGTGGGCTCGAGCCGCCGCTGCCCCTGCTCTCTGGCGGAGGGCGGACGTGCCAGCGGGGCGAGCTCCGAGGCCCCTCAGAAAGGGAAGTAAGTTTCACGTCCCAGAGGCAGTCCGCTCACCGACTCGCAGCGGCAATCCGTGGTCCTGCAGCCAAGACCCAACTCTGCCGACACCTGCTGCCCCAGAGCACGTAAGCTCCCCGCGAGGCGCCGCATGCAATATCCAGGCAGGTGGCAAACGGTGCGGAAGGCACGGGTTCCCTCGGCCTCCTCGAAGACTTTCTCCTTGTTAGTGTCGTTGGGGAAGTAAAGCAGTTCAGGAGTTGAAACACACTTACCGGGTGGTTGCGATTGTGCCTGGGTCTAGTTGGATCATGCTGCGTTTGGACAGAAAATAACTTCCCCTTGCACAAGCGCTCTGGTTTTCTACCCACCTTCAAGTAAACATCCCGCAAAGCATCTGAGTGATACCTTGCGCCCGTTTGTAGGTCGTTAAGACACAATTACTACTGTTAACCTAGAGAACCCAAACAAAAGGGCTGTGGGAGATTGCAGAGATCCACTTCCTTAATTTTTGGTGAGTTCTGTTTATAGTTGACAACCGACCGACGCGCCTGCGCGCTTGTATCACTCTTGCTACTACAGCGTAATTACCTAAAGGTAAAAATAGGAAAGTGGAAGGTTTTGTTTTGTTTCCCTTTCTCCTTCAATTTTAAATCACTGAGGTATTTTAGATAACTAAGCCGCTGAGTCTGGTGAAGGGAAACTGCTCCCCTCTCCCCCAGAGCTGGCCGTCTGAGAAATCAACTTCCGACTGTCAAGTGTGCTGTCTAGTCTTGTCATCTCAAAAGTTGATCCTCATGGCATAGGCCGTGGGCTTTTCCTAGTGTCAGTTTCTACATAGCTTTATGCACATTAGAGTAATTGTTCTTAGCTAAAAGCTTGAGCTTAGATATTACCATTTTTTGGTGTACAGGATTCTAATTTCACAGGTGTCATTCTTTTGCAGGGGACAGGAGCAAAAATGACCAATTAAATCACAAGATAAAGTTAACCCTTTCCTTTAGGCAATTGTTTTGCATACTGCTTCCCCAGTAATTATAATAAGCAAAAGTCAATCAGATTCTCATTTGGTGTTTCCTTTTGAAGGCAATAAAAGACTCTCTTGGGGGAGGGTGCTTTATATTTTTATATTTTAAATTTTCAGCTTTTCTTTATGTTCCCAACACCTTTTTCCGCCCAAATGAAATCAGGAAACGAACTTTCTTTACGAGATGATATAATATTATTTGATGTACTATGTGAATAAAATGGCAAAAATATCATTAATTTTTGAGAAGATACAGATTCTCTTTGGCTTGGGGAAAGAAACAGAAAAAGATGACTGCTGATGTGATACTAAAACAACAAAGAAATCTTTCTGGTGTGCAAAGCCTAAAGTCTTCTGGAGTGTGAGCTTCCTATTTAATCATGAAAGCTGTGCCCTTGTCAGCTGTGGAACATGTACATTATTCTGTTAAGACAGCAGCCAAGACTTGGAATCAAATGGAATAATTTTGTCAAAGAAACATGAATTGAAAATCCTGATCCCTCACTACTTTTTATAACCTGATGATGCTTATCTTGTTTTACAAATAGGTTGAAAATTGGTGAGTGATTCAAAGGCAATAGCAACTTTATAATGCTGTTACTTTGGCTATATGCCATTTAACTAAACAGTAATTTAACAAAAGGCTTTTGTTGGAAGTAATCATTTTGCAACAAGCTTGGCCTCTTTCAGTGTCATTAAAGCATGCCACAATTATTTTGATGGCCATGCATGTAACACAGATGTGTGCTGATGTTAACCACATTATCTGTAACTACCATGCTACCATAAAATGCATGTGGCAAGCATCTATCTACTTGTGTTATGTACTAAATTAAACACATGTATATTTATAAATGGAATAATGTATGAACAGCATCTCTCACTTAGATGTTAGTCAAACATTGAATGGATATGGATATATTATTGTTCTGTGCATAGTTGGCATTTCCTTTACTTCTACTTTAGTTTGTAAATGAAATAGTAAACCATTACTTTAATAGCCAATAACTACTATTATGGTGGTCCCCTCTGGGACAAGTACACTTGATAATTTTGATTATCACTAATTAAAACCAAAGTTAAGTATGTGACATCAATTAGATCATTTCCTCCCCTGAGATTAAAATAGAAAATCTTTTATTTTTCAGAAGTATCTCCTAATATTTTTTTAAGATGATCCTTTTTCACATTCTATCTCAAATGAAGACAGCTGATCTTGCATCAAAATTATTTGTATATTTCAACTCTTAATGGAAGGAATTTTACTGATTCCTAGTTACTTAAGAATTTGCCTGTAATACTGTTACAATAATGCAGTGTGAGTAAAAAATGATTAATTGTAGTAAATTTAAGTAGGACAAATATGAGAGAAGCTTGGTAAGACATTTTCTGTGTGTTGTTTTGAAAAACACTCTCTATTTGTTTAGCACCAAATTAAAAATTGAAAAGTTAGTTAAGTGATTTTCTGCAACTTAGATCGAAGTTTTTCACTGAGACTTTAGAAAAAATTTGATGTGTTTGTTCCCATGGAAAACATTTGAGCCTGAAGACAATAGTTTACATCTTATGTTAAGATGAGTAGCATTTAAATGGAATATAACTTAAAAAAAAAAATCAGAAAAAGAAAACACTATATTTGTATTCATGCTAATGTTATATAGAAATTTGCCATCTTGCTTTAGAGGTAACCTCACCTGGACAAGCAGGAAGTCTTTTGCACGCAATTTGGAGTTTGAGCCCTATCCAAGATTGAAAAGCCCAAGTTTATATAAACTGAAAGCTATTGGTTGTGTGTTGAGCCCCACAATAGCTTTTAGCTGTTTGTTCTATGCTGCTATCTCTGTTGTTTATTTAAGTAAGAATTTCTGCTGTGGTTGGTCTCTTGGTTTTTTGAGTCGTGTTTGTTCAGGGAAACTGTTGTTCTGTCCTTTGTAGTTCTCTGTGTTTGGGGAGGTAGACATTTTTTCTTTCTGTTCTCTTAGAAAGTGCTTGTGGCTCATACTTTTATAGGGTGTCATTTGATTAGCAAAATATTTTCAGGGGAAAAATCACTAGGTTTGATTATAAATTCAGTCCTCAAATTGCTGCTGCAAATATGAACTAGATTAGTATTTTCGTTTCAGTAAGATTTTAGTCCTCTGAGTAGTAATGTAATAAACACCGAGGTGCTCATTTTTCCCTTGATGTATTCAACTAAATTAATGAAAGCAATATGACAGCAGGATGGAAATTCCATTAACTTTTTTAAAAAAAGGCTTTATTGAGATAAACCATACAGTCTGCGCAGATTGTGTAATTCATCCGTTAACTTTTAGATGAAGTTACTTCTTAATTGTCTTGGGGGTCCTGAGGTAATGTTGTGAGTCAGTTTTGATACTTTAACCAGAAACCTCCCAAAAAACTACAATTAGAAGGTGAGGACTTAAATTATATCCATTTCACCAAGAATTGTAATTTTCATTCCATTTGGACTAGTAAAGAAAACCTCTAAGAAGATTGGGGAAAAAGTGAAAAAGCGATACCTTTTCACAAATCATATTAAGTACATATGTGAATATTGTATCTTTTGATATTAAATGTATAAGGTAGAGAGTTAACGATCTTATAAACATGGCTGAAGCAAGTAATCATTATGCCCTTGTTTCTGTTAATGTAAAATTGGCTGTAGGTCTTAATTGGTTAGTAGATTAAATGTGACTGGAATCGAAGTACCCCTTGTCCACACTGTATCTTGGTTTCTACAATTCAAATATGATATCCATGTTATGGCTGTTTAAGATGAACTAGTATATAAAGGCTCCCTCATTTAAAAAAAAATAATTCAAAATATTTCTTCAGCTTTATTGAGGTATAATTGACAATGAAATTGTAATAAAGTACACAATGTGGTGATTTGATATACATTGTGAAAAGATTCCCACCATCTCACCACTGAATTAATTAACCCATCCATCACCTCACATACTTACTTGTTCTTGAGAACACTTAAGTTCTACTCTCAGCAGACTTTAATTATACAACACAGCTTTGTCAGCTATAGTTACCATGTTATACCTTGGAGCCTCTGACCTTACATAACCCCTCAATTTTTACATGTTTTTTTCCTAGAAAAGAACTATTAAAAGTACCATTTATTATCTATGGTTTTAATTCAACGGGCAAAGCACTGTTACGTCTAGCAGCTAATGGCTGTCCTTCTCCATTATAATTTTCTTGGTTGATGATGGACCAGAATTTCTGCAGCCCCGTTAATATGATTGTTCTTAAACTGTATGTTAAGCTTCAGCCAACTGAACTCAACTTGAACTAATGTGGAGATTTCGGTGCTAGTGAGTATGGGAGGCGTCTGTCTGTTCGGGCTGCAATGCCGTGCCACAGACTGGTGGTCTGTAACAAGAGACATTTATGTCTCATAGTTCTGGGCCAGATGTCTGAGGTCAGGGTGTGGGTGAGGGCCCTCTTCTGGGTTGAAGACTTACTGTGTCCTAGGCAGAAGGGGCTAGAGAGTTATATTGGCCCTTGTTTCTAAGGTCACTAATCTCAAAAGGCCCACTTTGGGGGCTAAGTTTCCAACATATGAATTCTGGGATCACATGGACATTCTGACCATAGCAGGTAGTGATAACGTTAAGTCTAAATTGTAAGGATAAAAATCCAGACTCTACTTTTGATTAGCCACATGGACAGGGTTTGTTATTTTTATTAAGGCAGTTTAAGACAAGATGAGAAACTCATTTTTTTTTCTGATGGTTTGTGTCAAGTTATAGTCAGAGCAGGGCCACACAGTTCTTCGCTATGGGGGCTGCACTGTCCTAGCCTCTCCTCGTGGG